CTATTCCCTTAACTGGGATTCCTTTGCCGTTAGGAATCCTAACCTGTAAAGCCGAGTTGGTATCCAACTCGCCATCAAACAACAAATTATCCTTTGCAATGTGCTCATTACATCCTGAATCTATAACCCATGCAGAGGATAAGTCAGAGGAAAGAGTACCTGACATGTTCGCTTTAGGCTGTTGTTGCACAGGAGTAGCTTCCGCCTTCGGTTCAGATTTGAGGAAGGCCTTTAGCTGAGCTACTTGCTCCGCAGTTAGTCCCGGTATAGAGAGTTCCGAGGACTCAACAGCCGTTGCTTGAGGTCCATTACGGGGCTGCCTGGACTGTGATCAGCGCCTTGGTCGCTCATCCTTCTCACCCGACCTCGGTGGCCACCCGATGATGTCATAACAAGACGATTTTTGGTGACCCAACTTCCCGCAGTGAGAGCATCTCGGACGTTGATCCTGCACACGATCATCAAGGGAAAGACGCTCCCCCTGTCCTTGGAATGCCACAGCTTCAACCTTCGGACGTTGATCTTGGGTGATGGTTCGTTATTGCTCCTCATTAGCAGCAGCATGGTAAGCTTCCCCTAGACGTGGAGGAGGCTTTAGAGACAGCAAGTGAGTTCGCACGGTGGCGAAGCTATCGTCGAGCCCCACGAGAAAGTCCAGCAGCCTCATGGATTCGTTAGACTCCCGCGTGCGTTGCTCGACGTTGCATGTACAGTTACCACACGTACACTTAGCCGGGGGGTCGAGCATTAACCAATCATCCCATAACTTCTTAAGCTTAGCATAAAAGCTAGATACACTTGACCAATCCTGTCGCAAAGCCATAATCTGACGTCGGATTTTGTATCTACGAGGTAGATTACCTGTGCTAAACCGATCCAACAGCTCATCCCAGATTTCCTTTGCCGTGAAGCTTGTACTAAGACTGCTTCTGATTTCCTTTGACATGGCTTGGCGTAACCATCCGACCACCATCGCGTTACAGCGAGTCCATAGCTCAAGACGATCACCGTCGTCGGGCTTCGGAACCTGACCAAGCACAAACCCTAATTTATTTTTAGCAATTAGGGCATTAGACATCTCTGCCGACCATTCTCCATAGTTCATGTCCGTGAGTAACTCTCCAACGAACACTTGACTTGGTGCATCAGACGGATGCAAGAACAACGGCGACATCGGGCCGATTTCTTCGTACGGAATCAAAGGCTTCTTCCCTTCCTCCTTCGTACCAGATTCGCCCGCCATGATCTCAACTTGAGACGAGAAAACGAACGACTAACGAGCTTGACAACCCTGATCAGAACACTGGCTCTGATACCATGTAGAAAACGTAAACGCGGAAGAACACACAACACAGCGATTTACGTGGTATCCCTGTTCGATGTGAATAGGACTAATCCACGGAGAGCTCAACCGAGCTCTCGACTGACGACAATTTATTATTGACGTAATAAACTGACCGACTTGCTGCTTACAATGAACCTGCAGCTAAGTCACTTATATAGAACACTAGGCGGCCAAACCTAGAACAATACGGCCAAGGGTTTCCAACTAAGACAAGGAAACCAACAATAACTTGGACAACAATTCAGCTGCGGACAGCAGCTACAAACGACGACGTGTAGTGCATTACTATACTTCTACATCCCGAGCCATATAATCTTCATTGGCTCAACGATTACGGAGCCATACGCGTTACAAAGCAAGCCAAGGTGAATTTTGTGATCAGACAGTATCACGACGAGCTTCTATTTGATGTTGCTCCGATGCAGGCCGTTCACCTACTTTTGGGGAGACCGTGGCAGCCTGATCGTGTTATCACCCATGAAGGAGGAACCAATTGCTACCGGCTCACACGCCCTGGACGGAAAATTCGGTTAAAACCTCTGTCAGCGGCGGATGTCTGAGCAGACCAGTGGCATATGGCGGAGAGTCGAAGGAGTTCCCGAGGGGAATCTGGTGATCAACGCACTAAGAAAACCGGTCTCCTAGCCTGGCACTTCATGTTGACTGGGTACAAGAAACCACGCAAGGCTCGTCACCGCCGACCCTGCCAACCGACGCCGGAGCAGAGCATGAGAGAGGGTGAACTGGTCGGAGCAATTTGCGATGAGTCGACCCACACGGAGATTGCAGAAACATTTCAAATTATGCCAGGAAGCTCACACGCAAGTTGGAACAGAGTGAGTATACCTGGATCATCGAATCTGATTCCACCCAAATTTGCTCTGGAAACGGGGAAATTCGACGAGAATTCGAGCTTATTGGTTGAGCTGATTGGGTGTGATTCGATACAGCCCACTATTGCCGAATCATTCAGTGATGTCCTGGGAAACTCTGGAATCGTTCAATTCCACTCATCGATCCCTGAATGGAAAATGCCCAAATCGGATTGGAACTCTCTGGATTCTGAAAATTTGAACGACGACGATGGCGAAAAAGGCATCAACGGTGATTTGACGAAAGAGATGACGATTCAAGCCTCAAGACCCATCTAGAAATTCGATTCGAAGCCTGGCAAAGACAATGGTGTTGGTGGATTGCACTGAAGATGCTCGATTTCAAAAGCCCCAATTGGAGACCTGAAGAACGATGCCCTAATTTTCCAGAAATAGCCGTGTGGGAAAGGGTTTTTAGATCCAATTTGGGATCGATTTGCTGAAGCTTTTGAAGAGGGCCAAAGCTTTGAGGTCAAAGCTTTTTTATGGGGGAGGGACTAATATGATCTAAATTGGCCATTAACCAAACTAGAATAGATTGATCGAGAGGCTAACCCAAGAGCATTAGAGAATGTTAAATTTTGGTTAAGTCTTTTTATCATTTCAGGTAGCAAACTTGGGACGGGTATAACTCGAGATTGGCTTGGCGAAAATCCAACTTCTTGGGCTTGTATTGAAGAAGGGGAGCTGCTCTTTACATCGACATATGGTAGAGGTCGAAGGGAAGTCCAGAAGGCTGGTGTTTGGGTTGAAGAAGGTGCCTACTCAACACAGGCAAAACTGCTGAATTTGCCTAAGTGTGGACACGAGCTCACAAAGGTCACTTTGAGCTTCGATTCAAGGAGATTAGGCCAGGTTCGAATTGAGAAGATGACCTCCTATGAAATTAGGACTTTCATAGGACAGCATCGTGGCATTGGATAGCTGGACGAGGCTTGGAGGACGTCGAACGAAGCCCAACAAGATCGTTCGAGGTCTGAAGGAAGCTGCCTTGCTGCCTCAAGAATCCGAATCCTATTCGGACTAGGATTACGAATGGCATCTTTACCTTTTATGTTTTGAGTTTGTTTTCCTTGTTTGATTGCAAATCGAACTTCCGTATTAGTTTGTTAGCTAGCCTAAGTCTATTTAAGTTCATTTAATTGCATTGTAAACTCAGTTTTGGTTTAATCGAAGACAAACGTCAAAGTTTGGTTCACAAGCTTCGTATTGTGATTGAAAGTGGCTTAGATTGAGCTATAGGGCACTCATCGCTGTATCGATCAAGCTATTCCCTCTTGATCGTGGCCAGCTTCCTTTCTGATTCTTCTCGAGCCTTTGCCCTTGTGAGCAATTGCACGAAAGACCTAATCCGCAAAACTATCCAACCTACACCCTGTTCTCGAGAGAGTTTGGTTTGTAAAATCAAGTGCTGCGCAATTCTGATTCTTAACCCGACCCGGGGGTTATCACTAGGCGTAAGACAAACATTTTGGTCTTGCCTAGCCCCTCATTCGCCTAAGAGTTGTGAGTGTAAATTGTTTTTTTAACCTATAATCGCAAATTACAATTCCAAATAGATGGAAGGAATGAAGGGCGAATCTAGGGGTGGGAAACGGAAAACGGGTATTTGGGTATACCCGTACCGTCTCGTTTTTTTCAGAGTTACGGATGCTCAAATATCCGTAATTTTTTTTACGGGATGGGACTTAGGATGAAGATTCGCTACTTTGGGTACCCGCGGGTTGCCCGTTAATACCCGTTTGGGTATTACGAGTACCCGTTATACCCAATAGTCTAAAAATCCAAAACCCATTTACTTTTATAGCTTAGTTTTTTTAATCGCCAAATTGATCCCGTCCACAGCACACTCGAAGCAATCTACTGAAATCCATCTCCAGATAATTAAGCTTTAGTGTGATAGTTTTTATGAATGTTTAGCTTGGTGGAATTCTTGATTTGAGGTTACTGGGCAAGCAGTTTTGAAATAGGTGAAGGTAGGAGTTTTTTCAATCTAATGAATCAATGATTTGAGCTTCTGCGGAGGAGACTTGGAGGACGATGATTGGTTGGACAAAACTTCTTATTTGGATAGGGTGTGGCAGAAGAGCATCCGAGTTTAATTCAATAACATTTCATGCTTGATTGTAGTTTTAATTATGCTCCACCAATTGGAAGGGTATTTACGGGTAGTATGGGTACCCGTTATTCGTCCCGTATAGGTAATGGGTACCCGTTAACCCGTACGAGTTTGGGATATGGGATGGAGATTGCTTTTCAAATGGGATTGGGTACCCGTTTAAAACGAGATGTGTATCACGTCCCATCCCGTTGCCCACCCCTAGGCGAATCAGTGGTAGTTTGAGATTGTGTCATCTTGGGGAAGTCAACTGTCTTTTTCTACCATTTGCCTACCATTTATGCTTAAGCGTATGTCTAACTGCCTAACCACACCTCACAACACAATCCTTTGATTGAATTAAGAGGAATTTTTGCAATTTTAAGGGTTTCATTTTTGGTAAAACATATGTTAGAGCTTCGATGATGATTTGATTTAAAAAAATTGGATGAATCGTGGGTCAACTACAATCCACCCGCACCCATCCAATCTCTTGTGGATCATCTATTTTACAACTCACATCCACCCATAGAAATCACCCACATAATAATAAGTGGGTCGATTGTGAGTGAAATTATAGATTCAACCACCCGATACTCACCCCGCCCTAGAAAAGCAAGGAACCAAAAGGACATTTTCAGAAAACAAGAACAAAATAGCAAGAGTCAAGAGGATAGGGACCGGACTTTTGTTTGTTTATTAAAGAAAAAATAAGACGGGAATCTTGTCTTGGACTCCCTGGTTGTTGTCTTACCAGTTACCAAGAGAGGGAATAGCAACGAGCACTGTCAAAATTCTTAGAAGAGCGCAGAGCCGCAGGCAGACTCAGAGACAGCTCGAAAGAATGATTCACTGTACTTTATTATAATAGTTATATATATTAGTGTGAAACGCCAGCTCCCTTCAAAGAAATGGGGCTATGATGAGCTCTCACAAGAGTCGTAATATTCCAGCTTCCCTTCACTCTGGTCGGTTCTTTCTTCCTTTCCTGAACCCAAATTGGTAGAATCTCCAATCCAAATTCCTCTACTTAGATCCCTCCACTTCGCCAAACACCACTGTTTCTCACTCTGTACCCTAAACTCTGCGTCTTTTCTTCTTCTGGTGGCTGATTCTTCCTCCAAAGGCATCTCCTTTCTTCATTCGAGGTATCGATTCCGGTATAATCTTTAATGGTGGTTTCTGTTTGTCGCTTTCGTTTCACGATTTTTATATTATGGGTTGTTTTCGTTTGTTTCCAATTCGGTTTCCCTTAACTGGGCTGGTTTCGAAGTTGTACTCTAAGATGAAATTGAATGGATTTGCTGGATTTTCTTTCTTCTGCTTGAATAGGCGACTTTGGGTTTGAGGGTTTCCATGGTTCCATTTTTGGTTTTCAAGTAGTCCTCAGAAGTGTTGTAGAATGTTCAATGTTAGTTTCCAAATGGGTTAGGCAGTAGGCAGTATGTCATTGCTATACCCCGATTCATTGACTTGAAGACGATCTTGTGATGATTAGTCAACTACCCACTTTTTAGTCGTGGTATTTTAGCTGCCACTAAAGCTACTAGTCCACCATTATTGTGCTCCCTCAGTTGGCCCATCTTCTTGTGACCTTTCCGCCTAGAACTTGTTTATGAACCAGAAATGACAATTCTGTGACTGACTTGACAATGACTGGTTAGATCAGTAAGTTAGAGTTTATAGTGACTGATCTGTGCTGGCTGCTGTGTCTCTGTTCTTTACCCCTTGTCTCTTAGTTTCTGCTCCTATGGCTAAGATCATTGACTAAGGCCATAATCTTTCTTTGCAGATGGATCTCGCATATGTCTCCAATCTCCATTTTTCTTCCTCTGTCTCACTATTTTAATCATTTGGGTTGAGAATCGTCGAAGATGGAACTAGTTCTTGCAGCTTTGGTACTGGCTCGCTTGCTTTCTTGTGCCTTTTCAGATACACAAGGTACTGATCTTTATTCTTTGCCTCTTTCGTTATCTGTAGTTTATCACCTTCTTACTTCTGGTGGTTATGATTTGGGTTGTTAGGGATTCCAGTCAACTTAGTGAACTTTGTATTCTGATTATGCTAAACATTCACCTGATGGTTTCAGGGGATGTCCTATATGATTTGAAGAATTCAATAAAACCTCCAGCCTACCAATTGACTGATTGGAACCCAAATCAAGTAAACCCATGCACTTGGTCAAATGTAATTTGCGACAATAACAACCATGTCACTTCAGTGTGAGTATTCTTGATTACTATTTTTCTCCCATTAGTAATGCTGTTTAAAAGAAACAACAAATAATACATCCATCACGTTGCTCAAATGGCTATTTATTTAAGCATATGCACTTGTTTGCAGGACTTTGTCCGGCATGAACTGTTCAGGAACATTGTCTCCAAGAATAGGAGCTCTGAAGACTCTTACTACACTGTAAGTTGAGGGTATACAATAATTGTTATCATATACATCACTGTACAATTCTATGCTTGTCAAGCATCTAAGTTTTTGTGTTTTCGTTAAGTATAATCTTAGTTAATACTAATGTTAACGGTCTTATGTTCTAATCGAATCTGATTAAGAAGAGGTAGTTAAATGCCATAAACATAAGAAAACCAAGATGTGAGGACTTCATATGAAGTGTTTTCTCGAATATGATGTGGGAAACTGTTGATCAAAACGATTTCTCATTTCTCCTTACTGCCATTCATTGGTATGCCGTCTGAAATTGGCATTCAAGGTAACTGCAATAGTATGACCAGTTACATCTGAGTTGATCTTGCAGGACTCTGAAAGGAAATGGAATAACTGGTGAGATACCAAAGGAGTTTGGGAATATGTCAAGTTTGACAAGCTTAGACTTGGAAAACAATCGTCTAACTGGTGAAATACCGCCTTCCCTTGGGGATCTTAAGAAGCTCCAGTTCCTGTGAGTAATAAATTTATCATTGCTTCTCTCTATGCTCATCGTATTCCATTCTCATTATCCGGGCCTTTGATGTATGATTTTCGTATGCTGCTATTATCTGAACAGGACATTGAGCCAGAACAATCTCTCTGGACCAATCCCTGAATCACTTTCGGGTCTTCAAAACTTGATAAATATGTAAATCCTAGACTGTTATTCATCTGGCTCGTTTTAATTACCTTTGTTTCTTGTGATATGAATTATTTATTTTGTTTGGACTCTTCAAATATCGTGACAATATTGTTGGAAATCTATATCTGCAGTCTGCTCGACTCTAATAATCTGTCCGGTCCGATTCCAGATCGCTTGTTCAAAGTTCCTAAGTACAAGTATGAATAAGTCTGAGAACTGATTTTCTACTCCTAAATTTGAATCTATCTCTGTCATTCCTAATGGTGACCACTTCTGTTCACTTGTTTCAGTTTCACTAGAAACCACTTGAACTGCAGTCAGAATCCTCCAAATCGGTGTGAATCTGATAGTACTGACTCAGGTACTTAAAATTACTTGCTATTAAGGGCATAATCAAACTAGTTAGCCTCTTTCCAAAGTAACTTGTTTTTATCTCTGCTCAAAATTTTGCAGGAGATTCACATAAGCCAAAAGTTGGAATTATTGTTGGAATTGTTGTTGGACTTTCAAGTATTCTTCTTGCAGGAGGCCTCATGTATTTCATCTGCAAGTATAGACACAAAGGCTACAAACGTGAAGTCTTTGTCGATGTGGCTGGTATGTGATGCTTTTTTGGTGCTTAAACTCTCACTGCTGTTGTTCTCAGAATGAAAATGGTCACTATTTTACATTCTCTACCTCACTTAAGGGTACATTTTGTAATCTTGGTAGTTAATAGCCTTTCTATCTCAAGTTCTCATTGAGCTTTATGGTACACGCTAGCTATGTTTCTGACTTCTTTCCCTCACAATTGCTTAGGTGAAGTAGACCGGAGAATTGCATTTGGTCAACTGAAAAGATTTTCGTGGAGGGAATTACAGCTGGCAACTGATAACTTCAGTGACAAAAATATCCTTGGACAGGGAGGCTTTGGCAAAGTTTACAAAGGAGTGCTTCCTGATGGCACGAAAATTGCAGTTAAACGGTTAACTGATTTTGAGAGTCCTGGAGGAGATGCTGCATTCCAACGTGAAGTCGAGATGATAAGTGTTGCTGTTCATAGAAACCTACTAAGGCTAATTGGGTTCTGCACGACCCCAACAGAACGTCTTTTGGTTTATCCCTTCATGCAGAATTTGAGTGTGGCTTATCGTCTAAGAGGTATTTATTACCATTATTAATTCCATGAACTTGTTGGTTACCTTCAGCATCATCTTTGTGACATGTTTACGGAATAGGCATGTCAATTGCTTAATCACGGTAGAGGGTTATGGTTGAAAGTTGGGTTATGTTAAGTGTTAACTCATATAGGGTATTGTCTGGTTTTAGTGCATTTGAGATTGCACGTGAAGTTCCAAGTACACCCAAATGCATCAGAAGTGTCAATGAAAAACATTTTTTTTTTTGCCATTGCAACTATTACCAAACAACCTGATACTATTATGGCATTTCAAGTGCTGATTCTCTCAACAATGCAACATGATGATTTTGACTGATGTTGATATGGGCCTGTAGAGCGTAAACCTGAGGAAACGGTACTAGATTGGGAGACCAGGAAAAGGGTAGCCTTGGGCGCAGCAAGAGGTTTGGAGTACCTTCATGAACATTGCAACCCTAAGATAATCCATCGTGACGTAAAGGCAGCTAACGTCCTCTTGGACGAAGAATACGAAGCAGTTGTTGGCGATTTCGGCCTTGCAAAGTTGGTAGATGTGAGGAAAACTAATGTCACGACTCAAGTTCGTGGGACAATGGGCCACATAGCTCCTGAATACTTATCCACAGGGAAGTCCTCCGAAAGGACAGATGTTTTCGGCTATGGCATCATGCTTCTGGAGATAGTAACAGGACAACGTGCAATTGATTTCTCACGCTTGGAAGAAGAGGATGATGTCTTATTGCTCGATCACGTATGTGTTTAAATTGCTATGGTTATTGTCTTGTCGGTACTAATTGTGTCAACATCAAAATATAATGTTTTTTTCTTCTTCTTTTGGCTGGTGAAGGTGAAAAAGCTGGAGAGGGAGAAGAGATTGGACGCGATCGTGGATCGAAACTTGAGCAGGAGCTACAACATGGTGGAAGTAGAAATGATGATCCAGGTTGCACTGTTGTGTACGCAAGCCTCGCCTGAAGATCGTCCCGCAATGTCTGAGGTTGTGAGGATGCTGGAAGGAGAAGGGCTAGCCGAGAGATGGGAGGAATGGCAGCATGTGGAAGTGACTCGAAGGCAAGAGTACGAGCGTGTTCAGAGGAGATTTGACTGGGGAGAAGATTCGTTTTACAACCAAGACGCTATCGAATTGTCCGGTGGAAGATAGCGAAAAGAGAACAAAAAAATTGATCTGTCGAGAGTTGCATTTCAAAGATGGGACAGTTTGTGAGGCTTTCATGGTACTCCACAGATGTGTTGTTGCCCTTGTTCTGTTCTGCTCTGCTCTGCTCTGCTCCTTACCTGTGCATGCAAGTTTGTTTCAAACATGTTCCAGCTCCTCCCTATGTTGTTTCTATAGTGAGGTTTGGGTGCAACTGAATGATACACCTTTTTTTTTTTAAGTATCAGGAATGATGCCTCCATTCCTTGGATGTGGAGTAGCAAATTGCTTGTTGCTATTGGTGCAACTTTTTACATATAGCACTTAAATTTCTTGTAAAGAGTCTGTAAGGATTCTAGCATAGCAGGTATCCATGCAGCATTGTAATCCCAATGTCCAGTGTACCATGAGCTCTTTGCTTGTTTTTCCTCTCTTTAATGTAGATATAATAAGTGTTTGTGATATTGTACCGTGCAACAAGTTAAATTGCGTAACAAATTACTTTTTTTCCCCGAATGTCTTCAATTCAATCCCGATGTACCATAGTAGTCCAACATGTCTCGGCAGGATTAGGAAGCAACGGATTATCATAAATCAGTTGATTCCACAATTGACCTAAAAAGAGTATTGCCTTGGCTAAACTGTTTGAAAAGGAAGATTTACGTATCAATGCAAATCTGGCAATTGGTGGAAAATGGAGTGAGTCTTGAAAGTGAAAAAGATGATAGTGATGATTGGGCGGACAAAGGCCACCAGAAATCCGGTGGCGGATTCAGGGGGCGGCCCGGGTGAAGGGAATTTCATCCATGGTGGGCCAAGGTCCAGTAAGGAGTGGCAGTTCCTTAATGGCCCAACTAAGATAAGGCTTTCCCATCAACCAGATTTCCTGCTGTAACAGGTCGCTACTTCATCTGTACTTCCTTCTTCCTTTTCAAACTCTAGACAACGGAACACCTCCTGAGTTCTGAACCTTTCCTTTTTCGGTTGCTTGCTCCTTCTTCAGAATCCTGCCGGGATTCAATTTTCCCTCTTCTTCTTCTTCTGTAACTGTAAGTAAATTCGTTGTTCCTCTTATTATATTACCTGTGGCTCTGCCATGCTTTAATCGCTTCCAGTTTTCTCGTATAACAGCTTATGGGAATCGAATGGGTTTTCTGTAGCCATTCCTCTGTTGCTACCTCTCTGGTTCGTACTTGTAGTTGCTCGAAACAGTGCCTTATCGATTTCCCTTTGGCCTTTAGGTTGTTCGCATGGCGCTGGTTCCAATACGTTACAAACTGCCTTATAAAGACAGCATCCCTCCCTCAGTCCCAGATGCAGTAAGCCGGTATCAACTTGGCTTTCGCCATGCTTACAGTTGCTTAATTGGTTGCACTCCTAATGCTTGGAAGACAAACAGAGGGCTTAGTTCCATCGTGTGTTGCAATTCGGGGCGAGGTGGAAATGAAAAGCAGCTGAGGCTTTTGGATTCTTATTTGGGGAAGCTCCAAAATGAGGATTCCAGCAAGGGTTCTGCAGATTTTGGTAGGAGAGGGGTCGTGGTTGACAACAAGAGTAGTTTCCAGTTTGATGCGAAACAGGAACTGGATTCTCTGAATGCCTATCTTCACAAACTTAATAGAGGTCAGAATGTTTATTCATGGATGGATAGTTAGTTGTTTAGCCTTTGAGGAGTATGAGATTGCCATTCTTGCTTACCATATGCATGCGTTTCTGTACATTGCATTATTGAACAAGTAACCTCAAGAAACTAAAAAATCTACTGTTTCCACTGAATGATCAACTTCAGGTAATTCAGTAAGTATAGGTCGCAACCCAGAAACGATAAGATCTGAACTGAAGAAGCAAAATGGTTCCTTAGAGTTGAGAGATAAGGGGATCGCTAGTCGTTCGTGGATGGCTCAGTCGTTATGGCAAACTGATGACACCTCCAGTTTCTATCTTGTGTAAGTTGCATAGTGGATAAGAATTATTCTACTATGGACTACAGAATCTCGTTCTTAGGATGTAGCATCTAATACGAAATCAATTCTTAATTTTGATGCAGAGGCATACTGGCGTCGATAAACATTGCAGTTTTCCTATTTGAAATAGCTACCCCGGTTAGAAGTTCAGAGTTTCAGCTTTTCTCATTACCTTTGTTGTATGGAGCAAAGATAAATGATCTGATCCTGACTGGAGAATGGTGGAGGCTGGTCACGCCAATGTTTCTGGTACAAGATTGACAACTCGGTTCGTGGTCTAATACTGTTGCACCATTGCTGGTTTTTGTGTATCCTCATGGGTGAGGCGATTATCAAATGTGGGGGGATGGATTTTCTAACATTGTTGTTCTTTTGTTTCCTTGGAAAATCATTTTAACCACTTATCATTCGAACATACTGTTCTGTGCAAAGAAAGTGAATGCTCTCCTAGAATGGTCTTATGTTGAGATTTAAGCATAAAGCTTTAATGTGCTAATTAATGTTGGTTGTAGCACTCTGGAGTTTTCCATGTCGCCCTTGGATGTTGGTCGCTTCTCACTTTCGGCCCTGAAGTTTGTCGGCGTTATGGCTCGTTTACTTTTCTCTTGATATATCTTCTTGGAGGACTTTCTGGCAACTTGACGAGCTTTCTTCACACACCAGAGCCAGCAGTCGGTGGCACGGTAAACTCTTGAAGTTAGAATGTTCCTTTAGATCCATAATTCAATCATATATTTAGAATGCTTCTTCCAACCAAGACATCATATTCCTGCAGGGGCCAATTTTTGGCATAATAGGAGCCTGGCTCATTTATCAAGTTCAAAACAAAGATGTAGTTGACAAGGACACTTCAGAGAGTTTGTTCCAGAAAGCTATGATGACAACTGCTCTTAGCTTCATATTAAGCCACTTTGGCCCCATTGATGACTGGTAAGATCTCCAAATAGATCACCGAAGAGATTGCTTTGACTGAGAATCTAATGTGTGTTCTTAATACAAAATCACATGGTTGCTGCTATACTCTTACAGGACGCATTTGGGGTCAGTTATGACCGGCATAATCTATGGATTCCTCACGTGCCCAACCCTGCAGCTTGATGATGCATCTTTAAGGAGTGGCCAAGATGAAGGCATGGCGGCAGTCGTGGGAAGGCGTCCTGATCTTTGTAAATCGTTGATGTTCTTCGCCATCTGCACTCTGTTCCTGGGTTCTTTACTTTTCCTTGTCGAACCTCCTCTTGACACAATAATCACGGAGGAGGAAATTTTCCGGATGTGAACTAAAGTTTTTGGTGGTACCCTATTGCTATATAAAGTACACAATTATAGGGTGCCATTTGGATTTTGGAGCAATCAACCTTTTCATTTCAGCTTCAGCAATGATAGAGAAAGAAGTATGTTCACATTTGGAAGCAGCATTCCATTTCCTAGTTAGTGTCCACAAGGATCAAGAAGCGAGTTTTCTTCACCTTGTCCTTCACCCGCAGTGAACTTGCTGTTCATCACCTGCATTGATAACCTCCGCTCATGTTCCTAGTGTCTACCAGTTGGCGGATCTCCTCACCAAGACGCTGCTGTTGCTCGCTTTCATCTTCTGTCCTCCCAAGATTGGTCTTGCTGACGCCTCTTCCATTTTGCGGAGCGTATCGAGGATGATTCTAATCCTAGTTTACTAAGGATTGTACTCTGTATGTTTAGTGTCCTCCTTGTAGTTGTATACCTTTTCATTCTTGTACTCTGTATCCTTGTGGGTATAAATACCCAGCTTTGGATCCCATGATTTGCAACATTAATTCCGTTCCATTAATGAACAGAGCGGTTTTCCAACCTCCCGTTTCTTTTATTCGCAGTTCCATTTCTTTCTGAGAATCATGGCCATTATTTCTTTTCTGTTCTTCTTCCCGTAACGCCATAAAAACACAATATAAACTACAAATTGAAGTGCGTAATGAGAAAGCAATATACATGGTGGTTGGACATTCTTTCCATTAATGACGACGCTCCGATACACACATTACCACATTCAACATTGGCACAACAGCAAGAACGGTAGCCATCGGATACAAAATTAACTGCACGCGAAGGTGTAAATTATTGAGAACAACAGAGGCAGAAGTACTGAAAAGTAAAAACAACACACAGATAGATAGTGAGAATCCTCCATTAAATCAAAATCACCACTGATGCTTCTTGGGGATGAGGACAAGATCTTCCTTGTTGTGAATCGTGAGCCCGCCGGCATCCTCAATCGGGAAATCCTCGAACTTCATCCCTCCCGGCAGCTGGAAATCGAAAAAGTAGAGCAGATTCGCCAGCGTGTACTTCACTGCGGTTGTCCCCATGGCCAGCCCGGGGCAGATCCGGCGGCCGGCGCCGAAGGGGACGAGCTCGAAGTGAGAGCCCTGGTAGTCGACGTTGCTGTTCTCAAACCGCTCCGGGTAGAACGTCTCCACGTCGGTCCAGCACTTCGGGTCCCGGCCCAGCGAGTAGGTGTTGATCACCACCTGGGTCCCCGGAAGAATATCGTAGCCGCCGATTTTGCAGTGCTTCACGCAGAAGTGCGGGATCAGCAGCGGCACCGGCGGGTGCTTCCGGAAAACCTCCCTGATGATCAGCTCCAGGTACTTGAACTTGTCCAGATCACGCCCTTCCACGCGCTTCTTGTTGGGCCCCACGATGCCCCGGATCTCGGACTGGGCCTTCTTCATGATCCTTGGGTTCTTGATCAGCTCCGTCAGGGCCCATGTCGTCGTCACCGCGCTTGTGTCGATCCCACCCACAAATATGTTCTGAAAAGAAAAAAGCAAAAAGAAATGGTGAATTATTGTGGAGCCAATTATTGGGGCGATCACGTGAATGCAAGTCGGACAAAAATGGTGACGTGGATCTTTTCTTGAACTGCGTGCCAATAGATATATGATTTCTATTAATAATAGTTAATTACCATGAGGATGGCCTTGAGGTGTTCCCTGGTGAGCTGAAACGATGCGCTCTGGTCCCTCATGAGCCCAATCAAGACGTCCACAATGTCCTCGTGCTCGGGCTTGGCCCGGTTCGGGTCCAGGTGCTGGTTCAGAACCTTCTCGAAGTACCCATCCAGATTCTTGAACGTCTGCTCCCGGGTTGCCAGCGCGCCGGTCAACGAGTCAATGAACCTCCCCGCGGTAGGGAAGAAATCCTCGGCGTGGAAGCCGTTCAACATGTCCATGGCCGAGCTGATCACCTTCACGAACCCGTCTTTGAACTCGAGCTGGCCGTAAGTCCTCCCAAACGCCACCGTACCCATGATCCCGTCGATGACGTGGAACACCATCTCGGTCAGGTTGACCGTGCTGCCCTTGGCACTTGCGTCGGACAGCCTCACCACCAGCCTGTCAATCTGCTCCTCGCGGGCGTACCTAATAAAGAATCGGTTTGAATAGAAAGTTTAGTCACCGGTTGAACCGGGGTTTTTAACGAGATCGGTTCGGTTCGAGCGGGATTGAGAAGTTTGACGTACCAGTACATGTGAACGCGCTTCATGCTGAGGAGCTCGAAGATGAAGAGCTTCCGCATCTCGCGCCAGTAGTCGGAGTAAGGGGAGAAGGCGACGTCGAGGAAGTTGTAGGAGAGGCGGCCGGGCCCGACCGAGAGGGCGCGGCTGCAGGTCTCGAGGTCGTGGTCCTTCATGGCCTCGCGGGAGGCCTCGCCGGAGGCGATGACGACGGTGGGGGCGCGGCCGAGCTGCATGAACATGACGGGGCCGTACTTCTGGGAGAGCTTGTGGAAGGACTGGTAAGGGAACTTGCCGACGAGGTGGAGGTTGCCGATGATGGGGAGTTGGGCTGGGCCGGGGGGGAGTTTCATCCCCGGCGGGTTCTTCTTCTTCCTGCCGCCGATGAGGAGGTACATGAGGAAGATCGGGAGGGTGAAGACGGCGAGGACGGAGAGCAGTTGGGATGGGGTGGTCGGGATCATGGTGGACGCCGTGAGGTTGCCGCCGGCGGCGGGGGACGACATGGTTTTAATTAGTCAACAAGTTGGCCGTGTGGTGAGTGGTGAGAGTAGTGAAGGGTTTTGCTTCCCCACTAGCACAATATTCCTCACTTTATATAAAGACCAGAGTGAGACTGTTTTGGCCTTCGCTTACAAAAAAAAATTTGATTTTATTTTATGATTGATGCTTCTATAATTGTATCGACCCTATCGCAATCAAGTTGCCGTTTGAAGTAATTGTTTGAAGAGTGGGGAAGTTTTGGCTCCATCTAACAGATTTTATTTTGCTAGAATAAAATTGTGAAGAGTGGATAGATTACTAGTTCATATCTCATTCTTATGGAGTCTACCACATATGAGGTGTAGCATGATTAGGTTATTGATCTTGAGTCACTTATTTCTATGCTTGACCCAACAATCATAATATTAGATTATACTCAAATTTTGATCAAAGATACTCGTCGCAATTACAATATTTGGTGCCAGAATGAAAGAAGATGGGAATGGGAGTTGCGTAGGGCGAATCGGTTGGAATTTTGCCGCTAATTTGGCACTTCCAAAGAAAAACGAGACTTGTTATATAAGTTGTTTATTACATAAACGGGTTTCTTTGCTAGCAGTAGGGTTTAAGGGTGGTTTGACGGTTATGGTTTTAGCGTTTAGTTGACGGGTTCGATCGACATTAGAGCTTAAACTTTAAAGTAGGGCTGACTATTTGGGTTTACCCGAAACCGGACGGGACCCGGATAACAAACAATCCAATCCAATTTAATTTTCGGGCTTAGATTTGAGGTAAAAATCCGTTTGGGACCGGATCGAAAATCGGATAAGAGAGCCCAACACCCAAAATTTAACCAACTCCTCACTCTTTTAGTCCTCAAGCCACTCAAATTACCACAAGCTCAATCTAAAATCAAGACCAAATTGGGACCAGACCGGACTGTATCGAATCCTATCTTTGATTCTTATATTCCTGAAAAGACCGGACTGAATCCGGATCAATTAGGGCCAATTTAATCAGACCTAACCATATAGCCGCCATCCCTACTTTAAAGGTGTCTCATGGTATTTGTGGGTGCGGATTAGTTATTTGGTTAAGGCTATTAGTATTTAGGGCAAGGATGTTAATGGGTTTGGTTTACTTGAATACTACAGAAATCTGTGGAGAATGGATTACGAACCTTTTTGCTATGATAAAATTGTGAAATTATGGCACTAGAATAACCAATATACAAGGAGTAGGACCATTTCATATCAAAGCCTTGACACTCACATAAAATACTTCAAACTTCAAATTTCAGAACAAATCATGACTACTACAAATATGCCTTCATTCCGTATTGTCAGTTTGAGCAAGCTCCATCACCCTTTGTATATTACGAACCAGCTCGCAATGCAGGACACTATGTTCATCATGAGCGCTTTGTATATTACGTATAGATTTTTGCTCTTTGTACTTTGGATAATTTTCGCAAAATTCTCGAATAGAAACTCTATTTAATGGCGAGAACAATTTGGAAATAGCTATGAGACTATTACTTCTGGTTCTTAACCAAATCTCTTTCCTTGCCACCCTAGTATTTGACCTCCTTCCTTTTCATTTTCATACTAGAATTCTCTTTCTTCCCTTGCAAGAAAAGTTAATTCCTAAATAAGAATTAACACAATTCCTAACCAAACTAGAACGCCTAGAACGAGATGTCCTAAAATAATACATAATAATAAAAGAAAGATATTAAATGGTACTCAACTTTAATTATTTGAATTGTCACATCAGCTCCATCTTAAACAATTCCCCCAAAAAAACTTATACACAAGGTTCGCTAGATGACCATGCTTGCTCGCAATTCTGATTTTCAAATTGTGTTTGAGAACCCAATCGGTTACCCAACGTCACAGCTTCCATCACAAACATGTGTCCTTGGCAGACCAAGCTCCACTCGTACTCCATATTTACGAACTGAAAATGTTTGAATTTCCATTTTCATGTTGTTGTTATTTCTTCTATCTTGTCGCAACTAATTCTAACTGAGATCAACCGAAAAGTGTAAGCTACGATGACATGTAAGACACCATAGGCGCACCCTAAAATTATACTAAATGGGACCTAAGTTAATGAATACGAACAACATAGAGTGGTAATTTTGCCTCACCATAAGTATCTTGAAGCATTCACATAAAAAAAAGAAAAAAAAAACATACGAGTAACACAACAAACACTATAAAGCATAATAGAAAGCTTATAAAGCATACCATAATCTTACCACATAACAAATTCATAAAGTATACTTGAGACTTCAAAGCAGACCTCAAATTCGCTGAAGCATATCAGAAACCTTATAAAGCATATCACAAATTCCCTGAAAGCAAACTATAAGTTTCTTAAAGTATACCAGCAGTTTATTAAAGCAAACCGGAAGTTTTATGAAGCACACCAGAAAACCTCATAAAACATACAACAAGCTTATTAAAGAAGGCCACCAGTTTCTTAAAGCATACCACAAATTCTCTGAATCATACTAGAAACCTCATAAAGCATACGATAAGTTTATTAAAGAACACCACAAGTTTTTTTAAAGCAGATCAGGAGCCTCATAAATCATACCAAAAGTTTCTGAAAGCATACTAGAAACCTTATAAAGCAGACTACAAGATTCTTAAACCTGGACCTATTCGTAAATTTTAAAAAGTTAGGTATCCAAAATGTATGACATAAAATTTTAGTACTACAACGTAATTTGTCATCAATATATTAGTACATATATGCAAACAAATTAATATTTTGGTACTACATATTTAAATCTATTAAGTTAAGATATCAAACTGTAATTTGGAAGTGAAATTCAAATCTATGGAATGTTAGTAAGGTGCTAATTTCAGGGAATGTTAGCACTTATCCCATTTATTGGTGTAACAATAAGATATCAAACTGTAATTTGGAAGTGAAATTCAAATCCATGGAATGTTAGTAAGGTGCTAATTTCAGGGAATGTTAGCACTTATCCCATTTATTGGTGTAACAAAAATAAAATGGTTGAGATAATAATCAAATAAAATAATAAAAAATGGGTGGAAATAAAACGTGCAAACGGGTGGCTCACCTAACTAGTTGGTGGCTCTGGCCGTTAAAAACTCAAACGAGAAATTTATGTGAAGTTGGTGGCGAAGGGCAGTGGAAGTGAACTACTGACCCCACCTCATAGGGGCAAAACCAGAACAATCAGATATAGACAAGACAGCAATTCACCAGCCTAGTTTCCAATCCACAAATGCCCGCCCCACCTCATAGGGGCAAACCAGAACAATCAGAATTTTATGGCATGGATCCAAGTAAGAAATGTGATGGTGTAGATTACTGGCATTTTATATAATTTATAAATGTATAAATAATAAAGTAATATTATTTTTAAATATATGGGGCAAACCAGGTTAATGCAATCAAATCATTAACCCTCAATTTAATTGTCAGATCAGGTCATCAAGCTAAATCGGTTTGACAACTTTGATAGTTATTAAGGACTCAAATACGTGACCGAACTTAGTATTGATCTAGTTTAAACTTATCTCGTTTATTGAAATATTGGTCCGCATTTGATTTGAACTCAACTTGGCTCGACTTATTAATGAGCTCAGGAGCTCTAGTATTGTTCAGCTCATAAAAAAAACTCACTAACAACTTAGGTATCATATAATTTTTCTCATAATTTGAACTAGTCGTATCTTGTTATTTAATAATAATTAGTATATAAACAATCTACAACATAATTTATCTTTTAAGTTATATATGAAACCTATTAGCTCACTTGGTCAAAGTCTTGAACATGATATGTGAATAAATAAATCAATTATATAGGTGGCTACTTCGACGCACTCACTTTTTTTGGTGCACTCAGTGCACCCAAATCTAAAAGCGTCCATAATACATCAAATTTTGAACGTTAATTAGTACTCTCAATCTAATATGATGATATGACATAGAATCATAACAAATCAATCCATTAACCTAACCCCTTAACCTTCAATTTTGAATCCCAACCCAAAATCTCAAATTGTAAACCTAAAACCTAACCCTAAATCCCTAAATCCTAAATCCTTTGAATTAAAGTAAATTTTGAATGATTTTTTTTTTTCAAATTCATGTGCTTCTTGTTCATAATATAATAAGCAACAATTGATATCGTTTTGACATGAATCGCATGGTCAGAATGACAATTATGAGGCGGGTGCACTGAGTGCACCCGAAAAAGTGGGTGCACCGAATACGCCACCATATATATAATCCAACGAATCTATGAATTATCAACAAGTCAACTCATAAGCTATAAATCGATTGGCTGAATGCGGCTAGTCGAGATGACTCGCTAGTAATTATGTCTCGCCAACATGTGCAAGCTGAACAAGATTTACCTCAAACTCAAGTTGTTAATAAAGAAGCAGAGTGTCGAACGAGATTTTTCCGAAAAAACACTGAATCGCATGTTACCAGTTAGGCTCATTTGCAACCCTTTGAGTAGACGGAGTAGTAGCACACAATGTAGTCAAAATCCCAATTTTAATCTTTAAATCTTACGCTTTTACGATCTTACCTATGAGTTTCGATCCTGATTTTACTACAAAATCTTTGAACCTTAAAGACCCATAAAATCCCGATTTAAAACTTTAAAATCCTTAAAATCTATGATTTTTACGATTTTGTACGATTTCAAGGTTTACGTCAAATGGAGCAAAATGAAGCTTGTCGGGTCGAGTTTTGCCAACAAATTGGGTCTAGTTCACTTCCCCCCTTCCAACACATGAACAACACAACCCTATCCAGACATGATACTCTCACTAAATTATAAGAATGTTCTTTTTCTCTTCCGCCACATGACACCCAACTCCTTCCATCAACAATTTCTCCACCACTCTCTCAATTAGCTCGGTGTTTGTTCCCCCATCACCTTCGTAATCAACCCAATCCCCATTCCCTTGCAAGATTTTGTTCGTCTCCCAAACCTTTAGTGCCACCTTCCTCGAGCTTTTTTCGATCAAGAAGGGAATGCGCCAATCAATGAGTGTCCTTTGGAAGATGATGACGATCAAGGAAATATGCTTGGTGTTAAAGTACTTCAAGTGATCTTCGGAATAATGATATCGTTGCTCAACAGAAAGACAAGGATTATATGAGGATGAAAGTGAGGGTGAGGGTGATGATGACGATGTTGAGGATTTAGATATTAGTGTTGATCCTAACGATCTTATGTGATTTGTAATCTTAATAGATTAGTGATTTCTATGAGGTTTTAGGTTCCATATTTTTATTTATTGAATGTACAAGAATAAACTCATGGTCTTAATTGTGTTTATTAAGGAGACAAACTCATCTTGAAAATCATTTAAGTGATACGTGGTTGACTGTTATTTAGGATATGCATTATTACTACTTTCCGATGTTTAAGTGTGATAATTTTATTATGAACTTTAAAATCTTAAGATTTTAATCTATGATTCCGATTTTAACTTAGTTTTCAATTTTACGTAAAATTTCAATTTTGACTGCATTGGTAGCACGTTGGAACTTTTTAGATGCGTGCTTATCTCACTCTCAAGAAGAAGATGGAGAAGAAAACAAGTTTCTCTTGTGATTTGGATTTTTGTGTTTAATGTCTATTATTATAATCCAATCATTTGATCAAATTTACACTGACCTAATAACACAGAAAATAACATGCAAAGTTCTAATACTACATTAAGGGATGGTTTACTTGAAGCTTTGAGTGAGTGATTTGGTGTAAAATAACTCATTTGTTAAAAAAATGAGTTGTTTGATTTCATAAAAATACTAAAAATACTCTCCGAGCCATTTTAAATTATTTAATTTTCTTATAAACTACCAATTTTAACGCTCTTTTTTTAATAAACTGAGTACTTGCCCTTTTTATTTTATCTTCTGCCAATACTTTTCAAATTGTTTCCAACAATACTTTCTAATTTTACCAATTACAATATTCAATCATCTTTCATTATAGTAGATGTAGCTATTTTGATGTCAGTTTCAAATATAAGTTATGTTTGATTGCAAAATAATTTAGCTTGAAAAAGTTACAATTTGTTAAGAAAGTTCATATAAATTATTATTGTAAATTAGAAAGTACTGTTCTACATGGCTTGTAGCCAATAGTATATTATGCTGGTTGGGAAATGTTGTTGATTTTTGTGGTTGGCTTTATTAAGTTAGAATACAAGATAATGAAGCGTTTTAGATATATTGATAAAATGGTAACATTATATGAATGACACATTCAAAAACTTTTAAACAAATTCTTTTTTTATAACTGTCTCATTGTCAAATATCTATATTTTACAATGTCTATATTTGAACAAATTATTCATTTTTTTTTTTTTTGATAATGGTGATTGAATTAAACTAGAAAGAAAAGGAAGCAGTACAGAAAAACCTAGGCACAGGTTCACAAAAGGGTGAACCACAGGACCCAGCAGAAAAAGAATAAAACAACAGCCACAAGAACAAAACACAAGGGGCAAGGGACAAAGACCCCCAAGGAAACTAGCTAATTGGACCGAGCCAACCCTGCTAGATACCGAACCAAAGCAGAAACACAGAGAAACAGAAAGACAGAGGCCACAAACCAACAGTCCTCCAACGGAACCCAGGGCAAACCCCAAGAGAGGCGACGAAACCAAACAAGAGAACAACGAGCGCCCATCAGGAGGGGGGGGGGGGGGGGGAAAACCGCCGACCGAGGCTCTGCAGATGCTCCTCAGCCCACCGCAAACCTTGAGATTTGTCCACCTTTCCAAACGCGATTGCCCAATCCAAAGCATCCCTCAGAACCTTCCGAGTGACAATCCTAGCGTGCAAGCGAGCATCTCTGAAAACTCTTCTATTTCTCTCCAACCAGATCTGCCAGCACAAAGAGTGAAGAAGGCCGAAGCAGACCCAACTGTTAACACTGGAAGCCGGGCAAGTAGGCCAATCACGGATCATGGGAACAATGTCGCTACTTGGGCCTGTAGAGAGACCACAGACCCTTCTGGAAGCACTCCACACGTCCCTAGCAAACTCGCAGTAGGAGAAGATGTGATCGATGGTCTCCTCCTCTCTGCCGCAGAGCTCGCACCTGTTGGCAAGCTGCCAACCCCTGGCCTTCAAGTTGTCAACGGTGAGAATTCTCTTGTGCACCACAAGCCAAATAAAACAGCAGATTTTGGATGGCACAACCTGCCGCCAAACAGACTCATCCGGGAAATCCGAAGTACCACTGAACTTGCCATCCACCAAGTACCTGTACATAGAACGAACAGAAAAGGATCCATCCACATCGGGCAGCCAAGAAGGCCTGGGGGGCCCACTCGACACACAACTGGCACCTCTCGAACTAAGTAAATTAAAAAGCTCCACTCTCTCCCTATCCGCTCCCCCCCTAAGATCGAAAGACAAAGGAACAGACCAAATGACAGAGTTACCTGAGAGGGACGCGGCGAGCGAGACCCTGGCGTTCGGAGAGCTAGAGGCAGCAGCAACTCTCGGGAATTCCTCAGCAAGAACCACTTCAGGAATCCAGCTATCATACCAGAAAGAGACCCAGGCTCCATTCCCAGCATCAATGCTAGCCATCTTCCAAAAATCATCGTACTCTTTAGAGATATTAGCCCAAACTGAGCCAGAGAAGCCCTGACGGCATCTCACAGTGCGCCAACCAGAGTGCTGATGCGGGAACTTAATACTGATCAACTTCCTCCACCAACTATCGCTCTCAGTAGCGTACCGCCACAACCACTTCCCCAACATTGCCCTATTAAAGGACTCAAGGTCGATGATCCCCAGGCCACCTCGCGAGAACGGAGCTTTGCAGGTATCCCATCTAACCAAAGCAAGTTTCCTGGTATCGCTCGAACCGCTCCACAGAAACCTTTTCTGAACACCCTCCAATCTTTTCACCACTGAAGAGGGGGCACGAAGAAGAGAGAAGAAATATACCGGTTGACTCGAGAGAACAGCCTTTAGCAAAGTTAATCTGCCTCCAAGTGAAAGATATTTACCTTTCCAACCATCGAGCCTCTTCTGATATTTATCAACAACAGTATCCCACACCGAGATAGCATTAGGGTTCGCACCAAGAGGGAAACCCAGATACTTAGAAGGCTCCCCACTCCACTTGCACCCAAAGATAGAGGCATAAAACTCAGGATTTGGGACGTCCCCAACAGTGAACATCACCGATTTCTCTAAATTAATCCTGAGACCTGTGACCGTCTGAAAACAAACCAAGGTGGCAAGTATATTAAGAACCTGACTGTACTCCGCATCGCAGAAGATAAGAGTGTCATCAGCAAACAACAAGTGGGTGACCTCACCCCCACCGTGCTCCTCGTCAATGAAAAAACCAGAAATCTTCCCACAGCTACTAATCCCAGAGATCATAAAGGACAAAACATCCATAATAAGAGTAAAAAGACCTGGAGATAAGGGATCACCCTGTCTCAAACCTTTCTGCGAACTGAAGAAACCTTTAGACTCCCCATTGATGAGAACCGAAATCTTCGGGCGGCACATGGTCCCATCGATCCACTTCTGCCACTTCTCAGAGAAGCCCATACGAGAGAGGATATGAAACAAACAACCCCAATTAACATTGTCAAATGCTTTCTCAATGTCTAACTTGAACATCAAACCCGGCTTCCTGCTCCTTTTCCTGCTATCAACCAGTTCAAAAGCGATAAGGCCTGCGTCTCCAATCTGCCTACCCTTCACTGAAGCATGCTGGTTAGGGGATACAAGATACGGAAGAACCCATCCCAATCTGCGAGACAGAACTTTGCTGACCAACTTATTGAAACTGCCCATGAGACTGATAGGCCTCAAATCCTTGATGTCTTCAACCGCATCTTTCTTAGGAACAAGACAAATAAAGGAGTGAGTGACGCAATCCGGCAGGAAATAGAGCAAGCAAATAATCGCTAAATCAACATCTTTATTTGACTAGCTCTGACCGAGCTGATATGTTCTCTTTATTCATGATTTGGTATACAGATAGTTCATTTAGGGGCCTTTTAACTTTTTGATTGGTTGGGTGGGACTGTTACAATGCTTGTATTATTTATAATTCAATTTTTTTTTATTTATGCACAGACAATGTATGTATTATTCGTTTGATGTGACAGAAACAATTATTCAAAATAAATGATTTTACAATCTCATCTTTTAGATGAGATTATTGTATCCTTTTTCTTCAAACTTTAACCTTTATAAAAATATACGTGAAATATAACTTTTGTTGCTAGAATGTTTTGGCTCTTTCTCATAAGAGGTCGTTCTTTTTGGGTGGTCTGGATTAGAAAATATTTATTTTTTTGGTAGAAAATGGGACGCTAAAAGGGCGCCCCTGCCTGACACTTAAATTAACCGGGTTTGGGAGATACCCAAAACGTCATACAGAATCCAGAAGGACAGACCAGGGTCTGGACTCGCTAAAACATGAAAACCTATACTAGTAGAGTGGCCTTTATTGGCAAGGAAATCCGCCACTTTGTTACTTTCTCTATAGATGTGGGAAATTCTGACTTCCCAGTTCTGCTGGAGCAATCTCTGAAACTGGAAAACCAGATTATGGTACCTGTGCTCCGTCTGATCCTGCGAGGTAAGTATGTTGATGGCAGTAGTGGAGTCCAATTGGAGTAGAACTTTCCTATGCCCGTTCTTCCACGCCATCTGCAAGCCACGGATAGCTGCCATAATCTCTGCTCGGGTAATCGTGCACACTCCAAGATTCTCCACAAAGGCACCCATACATTTCCCTGTCCAATCCCGGATAATGCCACCCCCAGCTGCTTCTGATCCTGGTTGCTTCACTGAGCTGTCGGTGTTGACACACGTCCAATCTAATGGCGGTGGTGTCCAAGCTAGCTGCTGTGTAGACCTCTCGGGCGTATCTATATGTGCAGCTGAGTCATCTTTCTGAGCTTGCCTGATTGTTGACGTCCAACAACCAATACGTTGCGCCAAAACGTGGTCTTCTTGAGACAGGTTGTGGAAGACCTTCTCATTCCGTCTTTTCCATAGGTACCAAGCTGCCACCCCGAACAGAAGCCCCTCCTGATCCCTCTTAAGATGTTCGTCCAGCCAAGCTGCAAACCCAAGACCGTAAGTTAGTGAAGACGCTTGAATACCCAGCATATTCCATACCTGTAAGGAGCTCGGGCAATGGCGCATAATGTGTTCCGTCGTTTCCGGTCCTCCTCTGCACATCGGGCACGTATCATCCGTCGTCAGTCTCCTTTTCTTGCGCTGCGCATTCGTCATCAGCCTGTCATGAAAAACCAACCACAAAAAATGTTTAATGCGGTTTGGGCCCGCCCATTTCCAGAGACGCTTTCAGTGATGGTGGCTATTAGCCTCGTCCGCCTCGCACCCCTCGTCGCTCAGCCACTCTAATGTCGCGGAATAAGCTGAACGAAGCTTGAACTTTCCGTCTGGCTCCATACCCCACGCGGTAATGTCTTCACCTGATCCCGGCATGGGAGGATCCGTACCTGCAATCAGGCCAACAAATTCTCAGTCAGGTGCGGTTTAAGATCCTTCCAATTCCACTCACCCTCATTAGTGACCATCTCAGCAACTGTAGCCTGCCAGTTAATTCCCTCGCCAGCCCCTTTGATGTGCTCGCTCAAGATGGTACCCTCAGCAAGCCAAGGATCCATCCAAAACTGAACATTATGGCCTTCCCGGATGTCCCACACCACCCGCTGCTTAAGGATAGGCCAAGTATCCACAATTCCTTTCCACAGCCGCGAGAAGTTAATTTTTTTCATCACCAAAGCCCCTGCCTCATTGACTTTGAAGTACTTTCTCTGCAGGATCCGGATCCAAAGCTCCTCCGACTTGTTCAGGAAGGCCCACCCCAGTTTCATAATGTAGGATAAGTTGAGAGCTCTTGCAGATCGCATGCCCAGGCCACCAAGTTCCTTTGGTTTACAAATGGTTTCCCATTTGACCAAGTGAGTCTTGGATACTTCGTCTTCAGCTCCCCAGATAAAGGCTCTAACTTTCTTGTCGATGATGTCGCAAACAGAGACGGGAAGAATTGCTGTTTGCATGACATAGTTCGGAAGGGCATTGAGAACTGAGGTCGCCAAGGTAACTCTCCCTGCCAAGGAAAGACTCCTCTCCTTCCATCCTGAAAGCCGGTGATCAATCTTCTCCAAGATGAACTTGTAGGTATCCTTGGTGACTCTGCCGTGGATGACCGGAACACCCAAGTAGCGCCCCAGGCTACTGGTTTGCTTGATTCCTAACATGTCGCTGATACTTTTCTTCAGGTTCTCCCTGGTGTTTTTCGAGAAGAAGACACAAGATTTTTCCTTGCTAACTTGCTCCCCGAGGCCTCACAAAACCGGTTAAGACAGTTTAGGACCTCTTCTCCTTGCTTTGGATCAGCCTCCGCAAATAAGACCAAATCATCTGCAAAAAATAGGTGAGTAAGTGCAGGCCCATCCTTAGACAGAGCAATAGGTCTCCAAGCTTTCCTATCTACGGAGTCCTTGATGCAGTGATTAAGTCTTTCAATACATAAAGTAAAGAGATAAGGAGAAAGAGGACATCCCTTCCGAAGACCCCTCGAAGGTTGGAAAGGTTCGGTGCAACCACCATTCCAAAGCACCTGGAACTGGACAGTCGTCACACACGCCATGACCAGTCTGACGAAATCATCCGGGAGACCAGCTGCCTGCAGAGTTAACTCCAAGAACTTCCAATTAACCCTGTCATAGGCTTTGTCCAGGTCAATTTTCAGAATCATTTGTCCCTTGACTCCCGTCCTGAGTGATATCGTGTGAACCACTTCCTGCAGGATGATAATGTTGTCTGTGATATGTCTCTTAGGGACAAAGCTTGACTGGCTCGGGTCGATCAGCTGAGGCATGAATTTTTTGAGCCTGTTCGCCAGGCACTTGGCCACGACATTGTAGCTCACATTACATAGGCCAATGGGTCTAAACTGAGCTACTTGCTTCGAAAAATCCACCTTGGGCAGCAACATCAGAAAAGTTTCATTGCAACTCTCGATCCCCTCCGGATTCCTGAAACAGGCAACAATGTGGTCATGGAAATTAACTCCCACCCTGTACCAACATTTCTGGAAGAAGGTTGCATGGAAACCATCCTTCCCCGGTGCCTTTAGCCCTCCCATCTCCTTAATTATTTGATACGTTTCCTCAGGAAGCGGGCTGGCTGCAAGATGCGTCGTCATGTTCTCGGTTAAAACATTGAAAAGAGCTGGGATATTTAGCTGCCCTGTTCCATCATCCGAGTAGAGCCGGACATAGAACTCCCTTGCCATAAGCTTCAGCATCTCCGGGTCCTCGATCCACGTCCCATCCTCCCGTTGTAACTTGGTTATTCTATTCTTCCGCCGTCTCGTAAGAGCTACAGTGTGAAAGTATCGAGTATTCTTGTCCCCGTTCACAATCTGATTAGCCCTCGCTTTCTGAAGCCATAGGATCTCTTCCTACCATAAAGTCTGCTCAAGTTCCTCCCGAATCTTCCCTTCCTGTCTCAGGGATGCTTCACTCGCTGCCGTCTCGTTCTGAACCTCCAGGCGGGCAAGCTGCTTTGATAGTTTAGCTTTCCTCCAGAATATGTTCCCAAACACCTCTTTGTTCCAACGAGTGAGATGTGCTTGAAGGTCCTGCAAAGACAACAAACAGTCCCTTCCTCGGTTCCACGAGTCCTCAAGTGTGGAATGAAAGTCTTTATGAGCTAACCACGACACAAGAAACCGAAAAGGTCTTACCTGCCTAGGAGGGATATGGTCATTCTTGCTGTTGATGAGGATTGGTCTATGATCCGAGCGGAGCTTTGGCAGGTTCGTTGAGACAGTATCTGGGAAGAGCCTGATCCACTCCTGGTTACATAAGGCTCTATCAAGACGCTGGGAGAGCCGCCCATTACTCCAGGTGAATTTAGGTCCAGTGAAACTGACACCTATAAGCCCACAATCACGAATGCACGCGTTAAAGTTGGCCGTTTTACTCGGATTGTACGCTGCCCCTCCTTTACGCTCCGAAGGACAAGTGATGGAATTGAAATCTCCCGCTAAGAGCCACGGCTTATCAATGTTCTGCTCCAGTCTTCGAATGGCCGCCCAAAGGGGTTGCCTGTCATGGTCATTAGGCTTGGCGTAGATCGCAGTCAAGAGAACTGAAATTCTGTTCTGATCTGTGCACAAAAGGTGGAGGAATTGTGAGTCACGATCCAATTCAGTAATCTCAAGGTGAGTATCTTTCCAAAGCACCCAAATACCACCCGAAAAACCAATAGCATCTACCACAATGTGTTTATCAAACCCCATAGATTTAATAACATCTTTTGTGTCCTTACCACTGATCTGTGGCTCAACAATAAAGACAATATTGGGTTTATGGATGAACACATACTCCTTAAAAGTTGCAAGAAACTTAGGGTGTTTTGCCCCCCGGCAATTCCAACAAAAAATACTAAACATAAGGAATTAAAGAGAAGAGAGGTATACGCAAACTTCCATGACTTGCAGAAGCATAGGGGAGAACGCTTAATTCGCCGGCTTCGCCAACGGAGATTCAGTACCCACCATCGCGGTTGCCTCATGTACCTGGTCTCCTTCAATTCTAGTGGACTGGGGCTCGGCGATATCAGCCATAAACTCATTATTCTCCTTGGATCCCGAATCAGAAGCTCCAACAGGCGGTAGGGACTGGAGTTGGGTAAGGAGCTCCTCAACAGCTTCGTGGTGACTTGGGTTACTCAGTTTCTTTGAAGCTCGCTTGCTGTTCCCCGTACCAGCTCGTACTTCGTGGCTCTTCTTTGCTACTCGGAGGATGGAATCCTTCTTCTTCTTTGGTGGGCCACCGGCTTTTCATGATTTTCGTCTCTGACGCTCGCGGATGGAGGTACTAATTTGGGGAGTCGCAGCTTCACCTGGCACCGAAACGCCACTACCTTCTGCCGAAGAAGAAATGCCACTGCCGAGAGGAGGAGGGCTTGTGGGCCGGATTCAAAATAATGGGCTCCTTTTCGGATGGGTTAGTCATAGTTAAGTCAGCTTTTGATGCTGTTTCTCCTATGGGTTGCGAGCTAGAGGCTAAAGAGGCCTCCTTGGGCTTAAGGCCCACCGTACGCCACTTCTGAGGTGGGCCTGAAGCTTGGCCCTCCTTAGCTAGGTTGGCATCAGAGACGTTGGTCTTCCCCATTTGTAAATTGGCCTTCCCCTTTTTTGGTTCCGCTTTCAGCTCTTCCTTGCCTTTCCTGTCTTTCGAAATATTAGAATTACCTTGTTCATGTTTAGGATTCTTTCCCGATTTGGTCGACGTTTTCCCGCCATCATTGATTCTGCCCGTTTGATTGCTTTGGGCGGATCCATGGTTGGCCTGTCCTTTCCTATTCTGGCTGCGTGATTTTCGAGTCACCTGCATCCATGGCCCGAAACCCGCCGGCGGCTCCGGCGATTGGCCCTCCGGTAGCTGGAGCAGATCGGACCCTCCCGCCTGAGACTTATTCGCCGGAGGATTGTGAAGTTTGGGACAGATGGCTTCAGAGTGTCTGATTTGGCCGCATTCAAAGCAGATCTCCGGCAAGTTCTCGTAGACCACTTGTTGCCAGAACCCATCAAGCCTGATCCGCGTCTCCAGAGGCTTAGTCATATCGAGTTCCACGGCGATCCGAGCAAATTTTCCTCTTTCCATGTGTTCTGTATGATAATCGAGTTTGACCGTTCTTCCCAATATGTTCCCAAGAGCAAAGAGCACTTCCCGATGGTAAAAGTGAATCGGTAGCTCTGGTAGCTGAACCCATGCTACCACCGACCGGTGAGGTTTGTTCGACGTTCGGAATGTGTGTGACCATTGATGAACGATCAAGTAATGATCGAGGATCACCCATGGTCCGCCGGTGAGGGCATTAAGATAATCCTTCTCACTGTTGAAATTGATCAAGAAAGTTGAATTGTTCAGGTCGAGGATCTCCATACTCCCAGTCAGTTTCCATTTCCAGCGGATCTGCGAGCAGATGTATTGGTAAGAAACAGATTTCCCCAGAAGCTGTGCAACCAACATTCTCTTCCACGGTAAGCAGAGACGTTCTTTGAGCTGGGACGAGATCTTTAGCTCAGGTTCGCCGTTGTAGAGCCCGACTTCCAAATCATGTTCTGCGATGAATGTCCACTGTTGGGTCTTGGCCGGGGTCGGAACCGGGGATCCCGCCAACGCCAACTTGTAGTTCAATGGAGGCGAGCTTGGTGAGCCTTGTGCAATAGGTGACGAGAAAGTATGGATCGTAGGAGAGGGGTCCGGCGGCCTCCCCGCAATAGCCATTTCGGCGTCCGGCGGGTTGCAGGCCGTCGGAAGAACTGAGAGCATTTCAGAGCAAATTTGGTGTCTGATTAGAAAATATTGACTTAAAAGAAAGTGTATAGGGGAATTATAAGGAAATTAGGTACGGTCTTTGCTCTTAAGAAAGTTAGTGAGGGTCGAACCTTGGTTCCAATTTAGACTGGAGGTGGATCATGACTCCTTGGTCACCAAGGAGGGCAAAACTATGAAAAGCATCTGAATTAATCTAATTTGGAATCAAGCGTAGAAAGGAAACGTTCAATAAGGTTATGGTTCTATGACTTTTATAGGAAGGTTGGTCCTCCGCGCCCCGCGGCGTCCAACAAATCATATTGAAGACCCACTTAATTAATGGTTCAGATTGAGATTTGAGTTAGTGGAGGTTGAGGACCATGGTTTGAAAAGTAACTGACAGAAGTTGGGGTGCACTGCACAATCTGAAAAGTACAAAAGAAAATACAAGTTGTAGAATTATTTACATATTTTACTTACTTGATGTATGTCTATATTCAAATTGAAAAAAATCATATATCATATATGCGGGTATGTGTATTTGTCATTTTCATATAACTTGTATTCACAATGAGCAAAACACATATTAGAAAACATATTTGTAGTGAAGAATAAACATCTTGTATTCAGAATACGTAGAACACATATTAAAAAACATATTCGAATTGAACAATAAAACATATTTTTTTACACATGATATGCATCTTTATAAATTTTCACTTGTATTCCCCCAATTTCCACTATCTTCTCTTTCTTACTTTTCAGATTATGGGTCGTAACTTTCACTATTTTCTGTGAGCTACTTTTTCAGACTTGGTCCCCAACTTTCACTGGCTGACCTCTAACCCAATCTGAGTCGTTGATCAAGTGGTCTTTCATGTAGATTGTCGGATGCTCCTGCGGAGAACCATCCTCCAAAATTCATGCAAAGCACAATACCAAAATTAGTAAAAGGTAGAGTCTCCAAGGGAGGTTGAGGCTCATTTAGGGGGTGTCTCGGGTCGCCCCTAGAATTTGGAACAAAAATCAATTACCCATGGTATAGTTTGCATTAGGGGCGGGGCAGGTTTATCAATGTTTCGGACACCTCTAAAATTTGGAGATCTCCTAGTACTAGTTTGAATTTGAGGGAAAAAGGTGATAGTTTTGTGATTCAAACCCTTGACACTAAAAACAAATTATTGTTTGTTCAAAATATAAATATAAATATAATATAAACAAAATGCAATTAAACCCGTATTTCCACCATTTTTCATCTAAACACTGAAAACTAAATTTTCAATTTCCTACCCTTCTTCTATTGACTAAGCTTGCAAGAGTTATTATGCAACTCCAAGAGTTGCTGACTCGCTAAAACACAACACCAAACTACGACCAAGTGCAATCGTAGAATGGAACTGCAGAATAGTGGGTAAGTTTTATTTATCAACCCGGGATTTAGATCTACTGCCTACTCCATAAACTTCTATGATATAGCAGGCTAATTGTAGTGAGTTGTTCAATCGCAAAGTAAGCAGAAAGCAAGAAATGTTCTAGTTTTCCAAACATGTCAAAGGTCATCCAGGTATGATTCCCCCTAGTGTGTAGCGAGTTCAGATTATATGTTCCCAATTTGTTCATATTGAAAAATACACTGCGGAAAGTTCTTGACAAGTCTGAAATCTCGATGAAAGTCATCCAAACCCTCTTGGTTCGAATACCCGGCGGGCTACTAAACTCCACCAGCATAAACTACCAAGGCAATACACACCAAATGTCCTCTACTGGGTCAATTATAGTACAGGCAATGAATCAACTTCTCGACTAAAGCAATCGATTCACCATTTCCAATTTAAGGTTGCTCTTTTAACCTATGCAGAGACTATCATTCTAGGTTAAAACAGGAATCACAAAAATTTGATAAAGACTCATGCAATTCTGATTACTGCATCAATTGAATATATCAAATCAATCATTCGTAAACGGGCTTCATACAACCATTCCTAGCATACAAAACTACGGTTCTTCATACCCAGTTGAAAGAGGAAACATCAAGCTAGGATAAGAAATAATTATGCAAACAATGAAAATATGCTCCAAGCGGCCAATCGGTACTCTGAGAGTGAGGAATCGAGCTCAAAGGTCTTCAGATCGCTCCAATCCTTGCCCAAGGGTTGTTCTTCGTCACTTTCTCTCTCTAGGGTTCTCTTTCTGCCTTTAGAACTCCAAAATTCGGATTCTTGCAATTTGCCCTAGCAGCCCTTTTATAAGCTGGAGATTCGCGAATTACGGGCAAAGTTATGACCGTAACTTCCAGCTCCGCCCGTAACTTCACAAAACTCTGCGTTTTTGTGCTCCGTAACTCAGGAGTTACGGTTTGCTGAAGGAAGGTATGGTGGCGACCGTAACCTTGCGGCGAGGCCCGTAACTTTTCAAAACTCTACTGGGAAGTTTTGTCTTTGCTTCAACAGAGTTACATGTGCTGAGGGGAAGTTACGATCAAGAACGTAACTTCTCAGGTTTGGCTGTAACTTTGAGAATTGATTTTGGATCCCTGACCCTCGCTTCTCTAAAGTTACAGGCTCATGGGAAAGTTACGGTCCAGACCGTAACTTTCAAGGTCTGACCGTACTTTTCCTTGGACAGTCGTCTGTAACTTTGAGAGAGATTGTTACTGGATAATCAGAATTGTTACGGTCATGACCTTAACTTGGATACTCGTCTGTAACTTTGAGAGAGCCCAAATGCCCAGTACCCACTTTAAAAGTTACAGGCCATGGGGAGGAGTTACAGCCTTGATAGTAACTTGTCACCCATGACCGTAATGGGATTGGATCTGCCTTCTCCGCCCAAAAATGCCAGAAATCACCGCCAACTTCTACATAACATTCCCTAGACCTCCGAACCCAAAAACTCACTAGAATGGATATGCCAAATGACCACGAAATACCATGTTCGGCACACGACACACACAAAGACACTACTTCACAAAATGAAAGAGAAACAGGGAAAAGAAAATGCAAGCTGGGGTGGGGTTGCCTCCCCACAAGTGCTTCTTTACCGTCTTTTAGCTGGACGCAGATGACGGAACTAAGAGTCCGCAAGATCAACCACCAACCCCGCTCGTTTGACATCTCCTCCAAGGTACAGCTTGAGAAGATGCCCATTTACCTTGAAGGGGTCTGTCTACGGATTGGCGATCTCGATGGTGCCATAGTGATACACATGAGTGACTGTGAATGGTCCAGACCAGCGGGAGTGAAACTTTCACGGAAAGAGTCACAGTCGGGAGTTGTATAGGAGAACTCGATCGCCAACCTGGAACTCCTTTGGGCCGTTGAGATGAGCATCATGAAGACGCTACGTTCCTTCCTTGTACAATTTGGTGTTCTCATAGGCGTGATAACACCACTCTTCTAGCTCCACCAACTGCATCTTTCTTTCTATCCCTGCAAGGCTCAAATCAAGGTTTAGCAACTTAAGGGCCTAGAAGGCCTTGTGCTCTAGTTTGACGGGCAAGTGACAGGCCTTTCAACTTTGCCCGTAACTTGCAAATTTCCAGCTTATAAAAGGGCTGCTCGGGCAAATCGCAAAGGATCCGGATTTTTAGAGTTCTAAAGGCAGAAAGAGAACCCTAGGGAGAGAAAGTGACGAAGAACAATCCTTGGGCAAGGATTAGAGCAATCAGAAAACCTCGAAGCTCGATTCCTCGCTCTTAGAGTACCGATTGGCCACTTGGATCAGTTTGCATATTCCAGTTTTAATGTTTTGATACCCGGTAATGAACTGTCATAATGTAATAGAAAATGGATCGAATATGGATGTTAAGTAGCAGATTTCTGGTGTAGCAATTGAGTACATGGAATATAAATGATGATACTGTGTATGGAGTATTTCAGAGATCTTTATAAAAAAAATTCAAACCAAAGATAGTTTGCATTACTAAAAAAGTACAGTTTGAACATTTACAACTCCGAACGGAGCCTAACGCAAAATCCAAACCTAGTACATCACTAGACGATATAATGAGAGCTTTTCTTACTACCAGATGGACTACCCTATTGTTCTTTCTACCCATGCACTGTACTCAAATCATTGGTTACTCCTCCCACAAAGTCTGGATTTCTCAAAGAAGCACACCACCTTTAGCATCGGTCAAACATCTAACATTAATTTTGTCAATAATCATCTTGGCATCCCCTTGTAGTACCCTCGAAGTTAGCTTTTTTACGACACACCAAATGAATGACTTTCCAAAGAGCTACTAACTCCACCGTCCATTGCTCAAACAACCCCTCGTTATCAAGTTCGATCCTTAATAATACAACACAATTATAAAAAAAAACATCATTTTTATTTCCGTTCTTTCTACTATTCATCCTCGACCCTTGACTATAGCGGATAGCCACATACAGTGGGATTGGGGTCAATCGAGCACCGCCCATTCATATCCAACCACACTAACTAGTAGAAAATCAGGCTATCACTCGTCTTTTCCTCTCTTATGTCTGATTGGCCGTTGCCGGATGAAGCGACCAATGTGAATTGTTACTATATTAGGGCTAGCCATCGTTTCAAGTAATCTATCTATCTATCTATCTATCTATCTATCTATCTATACATAATATTATGACAATTCAAAAGTA